ACTGTGCCTTGTGAAACAGAGCTCTTCACTATGGCAGCTTCCTATTTAACTCTGTTTACCACAACTCTTTGTGTTCGATTGGTTAGAAAGTTGAAGATCCATCTGCCTACTTTGCCAGCTATCCCTTTAACACGCATTTTGTGTGCTGTTACACCATGATCGCACTTGTCAAAGGCTTTTACAAAATCTGTGTATACTACATATGCATTCTGTTTGTTTTCCAGTGCATCCAAGACCATATCACATTGGTCCAATAGTTGCAAGAGGCAGGAACGACCTTCTCTGAACCCATGTTACCCTGGACTGAACAGTTGTTGGGAATCCAAGTGGTTTGCAATCCTGCTTCTTAGAACTCTTTCAAAGATTTTTATGATATGGGACGTTAAAACTATTGGTCTATAGTTCTAAGCTACTGCTTTGCTGCCACCTTTATGGAGTGGGGCTATATCTGTTGTTTTCAGTGACTGTGGAATCTCGCCTGTGTCTAAGCTCCTTCTCCATAGCATATTAGGGCCCGTGAGAGGGGTTTCTTGCAGTTTTTAATGAACACAGAGTTCCACGAGTCTGGGCCTGGGGCTGAGTACATGGGCATGTTGTCAATGGTTTTCTCAAAGTCTACTGGAGTTAAAGTTATGTCATAAATCTGGCCTACATTGGCAGGGTTTTGAGGCTCATTCATGAAAAAATTGTTTGGGTCGTCTATCTTTCAACTGGTTAGTGGCTCGCTGAACACTGAGTCATAATGAGATTTCAGTATTTTACTCATTTCTTTGTTGTCATCTGTGTAGGATCCATCTTGTCTGAGCAGGGACCCGATACTAGAAGTGGTTTTTGCCTTGTTTTTGGCATATGAAAAGAAATATTTCGAATTTCTTTCAATTTCACTAATCGCTTTTAGCTCCTCTTGTCTCTCCTGGATCCTGTGCGAGTCCTTTAACTTCAGCTCAGTATTTCCCAGTAGAAGTATTGCTATTATTATTAATAGTAGTAGCAGTACTATTATTAATATTAGTAGTAGTAGTTGTAGTAGTACTGTTATTAGTAGTAACTTAAATTATTATTATCATTATAATTATTATTATTTCAGTTTTGTAAATATAAGTATTTTTGGACATATTCTCCATGAACTTCCTTCTGCCGGTCTTTATCCTCACTTAGATCGTCAATTAAGCAGTTATCGAGGCCCGGCTTATCTCTCTTATCTCAAACGTCATTAAAACCTTCATTTTCCCCCCTGATAAACAAAAGACGACTACCACACGTCATTGTCAGTCAACCAATCAGCGCGACCAACCTCATCGACGTCACAAACTTCAATACCAATCACAGCGTCGTACACAACTACGTCGCAAATCGCGTCATTACTTGCGCATCGTTGCAGTTACTCGCATGACCAAAAAAAATCGTAAATAGTTTCTTAATTAGCCAAATTTCCCGAATTTGTCACATGATGTTTTGCCCATATATATATATATATATATATATATATATATATATATTATATATATATATATATATATATATATATATATATATATATATATATATATATATATATATAATGTCGTGCCGAATAGGTTAGCAAGAACTCATTTAAAATTAAGTCTTTTCTAATTTTTTCTCTTATACTTTTAAAGATATATTTTTTTATTTACGTTAATGTAAAAGCTAATTTTGTACCAAAAGAACCTTAGAAAACTTACCTAACCTTATTATAACAAGCGCAATTTAATTTAGTCTAATTCAACTAAATATATTTTAGATAAGTTTAAAATAATTTAATAATAAACAAACACAATGAAATATTTTTTTCGTTAGGTTCAGAATGATTTTTGCGAAATTTTTGCATACACAAATTTTCGCTTGTCTTATTCGGCAAGAAGAGCGTTGCTGTTCAAGCCAATATCGCAAGTTATGTTATGGTCACTCCACAATTTTTCTCCCTAAGTGAGGTTTGAAGTCAGTGTCCACCTTTCCTATACTCCATCTGCGGTCTTCTTTGCCCTTCCCTAATCTTCATGACTTTGCATTAGGCGGGGTTGAATTCGAGAAGCCAGTTGCTGGACCACGCTTCCAGCCTGTCCAGGTCTCTTTGAAGTCCTGCCTGATCCTCATCCGATTTAATTCTCCTCATTAACTTCACATCTGCGAACAGGGACACTCCAGAGTATATCCCTTCCACCAAGTCATTCACATATACCAAAAATAGCACTGGTCCTAGGACTGACCCCTGTGGGACCCCACTCGTCACAGGTGCCCACTGTGATACCTCATCACGTACCATGACTCGTTGATGCCTCTCTGTCAGGTATTCTCTGATCCATTGCAGTGCCCTTCCCGTTATACGCGCCTGATCCTCTAGTTTCTGCACTAATCTCTTGTGAAGAACTGTGTCGAAGGCCTTCTTGCAGTCCAAGAAGATGCAATCAACCCACCCCTCTCTCTCGTCTCTTACTTCTGTTACTTTATCACAAAACTCCAGAAGGTTTGTGACACAGGATTTGCCTTCCATAAATCCGTGCTGGTTGCCGTTTATAATCTTGTTCCGTTCCAGGTGCTCCACCACTCTCCTCCTGATAATCTTCTCCATAACTTTGCATACTATACACGTCAGTGACACTGGTCTGTAGTTTAATGGCTCGTGTCTGTCTCCTTTTTTAAAAATGGGAACTACATTTGCCGTCTTCCATACCTGTGTGTGTGTGTGTGTGTGTGTGTGTGTGTGTGAGTGTTGCGTGTGCATGTGCGTGTGCGTGTGCCGCGCGTGTGTGTGTGTGGTGTGTGCGGGTGTGTGTGTTATGTGTATGGTGTGTGTGTGTGTGTGCAAAGGTATGTTTTACTGTTCATAAGGGTGGAAGTCCTACTCTTACTGCTCATAATGTGAACTTTAATTATGTTATCATGGGGTGGACTGGTCTGTCAGCGGTTTCCTGGTCACATGATCAGTAAGCCAGTGGAAGGTCTCTCTCATGATCAGTAAGCCAGTGGAAGGTCTCTCTCATGATCAGTAAGCCAGTGAAGTAGCTCTTCATGATCAGTAAGCCAGTGGAAGGTCTCTCTCATGATCAGTAAGCCAGTGGAAGGTCTCTCTCATGATCAGTAAGCTAGTGGAAGGTCTGTCTCATGATCAGTAAGCCAGTGGAAGGTCTCTATCATGATCAGTATATTAACAATTTATCACTATTACTCTCAGTACAGTGACAGTCTACCAAGGTTTACATATGGCGTAGACACAAGCATAGAGCATTTAAGATACGGGTTGTGTTAGAGTACTACTAGCCAGTGTTGTATGTCTCTTTCCGGGTTGTGGTGAGTCTGTGGGCCTGATAGCCGCTAACACAAACGGTACTGTTGACCTGGCAGTCACCAGGAGAGACTGGTCTCAGGCTGGGCTCACCTAATATCATTCCAGGTTGCAGCAAGACCTGAGTAATTTCAGGTTACAGTAAGACCTAAGTAATTCAAGGCCACAGTAAGATCTACATAACTCCGGGTTACAGTAAGATTTAAATAAATCCGGGTTACAGTAAGACCTAAGTAATTCAAGGTTACAGTAAGATCTAAATAATTCCAGGTTACAGTGCTGTGGTACCTGCATTGCACCTGAGCCATTACTCCCAGACCCCCAAACCCCCCATCAGATCCCCCCAGACCCCCACAAGACCTCCCCCAGACTCCCCTCGTTGCCGCTAATTGCCCTGGTTGAGTGAATAATTAGGTTGAGTATTGGTGGTGGTTGCTGTAGGTTATACAACACTTCCCGGTTCTTGTACGATATTTATTATTTATATGTGTTTAACGAGGCGCAGACTGAGGGGAAGTGTGTTCTTCAGTGGAAGGAGACAGTGGGGAGGACAGTGGGAGGGGACAGTGGGAAGGATAGCGGGAGGAGACAGTGGGAGGAGACAGTGGGGAGAACAGTGGGAGGAGACAGTGGGGAGGACAGTGGGAGGAGACAATGGGAAGGATAGTGGGAGGAGACAGTGGGAGGAGACAGTGGGGAGGACAGTGGGAGAAGACAGTGGGGAGGACAGTGGAAGGAGACAGTGGGAAGGACAATGGGAAGAGACAGAGGAAAGGACAGAGTTTGGGACAGAAGGAAGGAGAGACAGAGTGAGGAACAGAAGAAAGAAGAGACAGACTAAGGGACAGAAGGAAGGAGAGACAGAATAAGGGATAGAAGGAAGGAGAGAGAGAGAGAGAGAGAGAGAGAGAGGAGAGAGAGAGAGAGAGAGAGAGAGACAGACAGACAGACAGAGGTCACTATGTTTCGGGACATGTTTATGGCATTTTATTGAGAAGACGTTTCGCCCACCAAGGTCTTCATCAATTTGCGTGTTAATGAAGTCCCTGGTGACCGTCTTAGTCACATGACATGAGATGACATGACATGACATGACATGACATAAGCCACATAGTGTTACTTGTTCACATATTTGTTCTGTATAACCCATTCCCAGGTGTTGAATTCTCATTCCCAGGTGTTGAATTCTCATTCCCAGGTGTTGAATTCTCATTCCCAGGTGTTGAATTCTCATTCCCAGGTGTTGAATTCTCATTCCCAGGTGTTGAATTTCTCATTCCTAGGTGTTGTATGTCTCATCCCCCAGGTGGTGTGTGCCTCATTTTAAATAACACCTGGGGCCAGTAGTAACAGCCTAGTTGATCAGACTCTGATCCACCGGGAGGTCTGTTCAAGGAGCAGGTCGCGGGGGCGTTGACACCTGGAACACCCTCCAGGTAGACTAAGCTGACCCTCACATGACTGACACTCGCGTCAGGAGACACTTTCCCCTGAGATGCTGACAACACCTAACACCTCACTACCTTTCACTGTCTTCCACAGCGATGCTGGAGGCAGCTCCAGCAGCACTCTGGTGCTGACATCTAACATACTCACACCACGTTTCCCTCACAGGTAGTGGCACTTGGAGCAGTTCAAGGCGGTTCTTTGGTGGTGACAATATTTAATATGGAACCTTCTTCCCCCCCCCTCACAGGGTAGTGGCACTGGGAGCAGTTCAAGACGGCACTCTCGTCACTATCAGGGCCGGTAACGACGAGAACTGGTGCGCTGAGATACGCAACAACTCCGCCGTCATGAAGAACCAGGTGGCCAAGTTCAACGACCTCCGCTTCGTCGGCAGGTCTGGCAGAGGTCAGTCTCGAGACATGCTGGGTTAGTGATTCGTCTCTTAGGTCCTAGACTCCAGGTACTAGACTCTAGGCACTAGACTCTAGGCCCTTGACACTAGGCCTTTGACACTAAGCCCTTGGCACTAGACCCTAGCTAGACTCTAGGCCCTAGACTCTAGGCCCTAGACTCTAGGCCCTAGACTCTAGACCCTAGGCTCTAGACCCTAGACTCTAGGCCTTAAACTCTAGGTCCTAGACTCTAGGTCCTAAACTCTAGGTCCTAGACTCTAGGCCCTAGACTCTTGGCCCTAAACTCTAGGTTCTAGACTCTAGGTCCTAGACTCTAGGCCCTAGACTCTAGGCCCTAGACTCTAGACCCTAGGCTCTAGACCCTAGACTCTAGGCCTTAAACTCTAGGTCCTAGACTCTAGGTCCTAAACTCTATGTCCTAGACTCTAGGCCCTAGACTCTAGGCCCGAAACTCTAGGGCCTAGACTCTAGGGCCTAATGAATCATGGGGATTGCAGGTCGAGTTAATAATCTTTAACTCCTACAAGATTATCTTATTATTGATACTTTATTATTATTATTATTATTATTATTATTATTATTATTATTATTATTATTATTATTATTATTATTATTATTGTGTATCCTTAGAGATTTCGTTTAGAACTTAGGACCGCCATATTCACTCGGCATTAAAATTTCAACATCGACAGTACTTACTGTAACTAGGAAAAGGTTCATGAAACTACCATGCAAAGATTCAGGGCCAGGAGCAGTGAATCGACCCCTTCAACCAGATAAAGGTGAGTACACACACATACACGCACACATCCTAGTGCCGAGTTTAATAAGACAATCACACAGCTTCAGGTGACACCACGACTCACCCTCAAACACAGGCAGCCTTTTGCAAGGTGAAGCGCATGATCAGCCTGGTATGTGACAGTAGGCTCATGCACTGCTCCCACAGAACTCCCACATCCCCCATATAATGCGAGTCAGCGTGAGAAGTCATCTGGACATCTCCACGTACCCCCAAAAATGCTAGCCACTCTCAACCGCAGTTCTCTGATGTATAGATAACCCGCACAGAGGAGAGGGAAGCTTACGACGATGTTGTCGATGTTGTCGATGTTGTGTCTAATAAGCCGAACTTGTCGACCAGGCCGAGCTCCTTTAAAATTGGACTTGGACTTTTAAAAAAAAATATTTTTTTACAGATTGACAGATATTTTTTTTCATTGGCACCTATATAAAATGGTACATTTTTTGACCACACCAAACCTATGTATCCTCCACGCAGGTAGGAAGAAACCTTAACCGAACCTAACCTAACCTAACCTAACCTAACCTAACCTAACCTAACCTAACCTGACCTAACCTGACCTGACCTGACCTAACCTAACCTAACCTAACCTAACCTAACCTGACCTAACCTGACCTGACCTGACCTAACCTGACCTAACCTAACCTAACCTAACCTAACCTGACCTAACCTAATCTAACCTAACCTAACCTGACCTGACCTGACCTAACCTAACCTAACCTGACCTGACCTAACCTAACCTAACCTAACCTAACCAAACATAACCTAACCTAACCTAACCAAACGTAACCTAACCTAACCTAACCAAACGTAACCTAACCTAACCTAACCTAACCTAACCTAACCTGACCTAACCTGACCTAACCTGACCTAACCTGACCTGACCTGACCTAACCTAACCTGACCTGACCTAACCTGACCTAACCTAACCTAACCTAACCTAACCTGACCTAACCTAACCTAACCTAACCTAACCTAACCTAACCTAACCTGACCTAACCTAACCTAACCTAACCTAACCTAACCTAACCTGACCTAACCTAACCTAACCTAACCTAACCTAACCTAACCTAACCTGACCTGACCTGACCTAACCTAACCTAACCTGACCTAACCTAACCTAACCTAACCTAACCAAACGTAACCTAACCTAACCTAACCAAACGTAACCTAACCTAACCTAACCTAATCTAACGTAAAATAACCTAACCTAACCTAACCTAACCTAACCTAACCTGACCTAACCTGACCTAACCTAACCTAACCTAACCTAACCTAATCTGACCTAACCTAACCTAACCTAACCTAACCTAACCTGACCTAACCTAACCTAACCTAACCTAACCTAACCTAACCTGACCTAACCTAACCTAACCTAACCTAACCTAACCTGACCTAACCTAACCTAACCTAACCTAACCTAACCTAACCTAACCTGACCTAACCTAACCTAATCTAACCTAACCTAACCTGACCTAACCTGACCTAACCTAACCAAACCTAACCTAACCTGACCTAACCTAACCTAACCTAACGTAACCTAACCTAACCTAACCTAACCTGACTTGACCTGACCTAACCTAACCTAACCTAACCTAACCTAACCTAACCTAACCTAACCTGACCTAACCTAACCTTACCTAACCTTACCTAACCTTACCTAACCTGACCTAACCTTACCTAACATAACCTAACCTAACCTTATCTAACCTAACCAAACCTAACCTAACCTAATCTAACCTAACCTAACCTAACCTGACCTGACCTGGTCTAACCTTACCTAACCTGGCCTAACCTAACCTAACCTAACCTAACCTAACCTAACCTGATCTAACCTAACCTTACCTAACCTGACTTGACCTAACCTTACCTAACCTAACCTAACCTAACCTAACCTAACCTGACCTAACCTTACCTAACCTGACCTAACCTAACCTAACCTGACCTAACCTAACCTTACCTAACCTGCCCTAACCTAACCTAACCAAGCCTAACCTAACCTAACCTAACCTGACCTAACCTGACTTGACCTAACCTTACCTAACCTGACCTAACCTAACCTAACCTAACCTAACCTGGCCTAACCTGACTTAACCTAACCTAACCTAACCTGACCTGACCTGACCTGACCTGACCTAACCTAACCTAACCTAACCTAACCTAACCTGACCTAACCTAACCTAACCTATCCTGACCTGACCTGGCTTAACCTTACCTAACCTGGCCTAACCTTACCTAACCTGGCCTAACCTAACCTAATCTAACCTAACCTAACCTGACCTAACCTAACCTGACCTAACCTGATTTGACCTAACCTTACCTAACCTGACCTAACCTAACCTAACCTAACCTAACCTAACCTAACCTGACCTAACCTAACCTGACCTAATCTGACTTGACCTAACCTTACTTAACCTGACCTAACCTAACCTAACCTAACCTAACCTGACCTGACCTAACCTAACCTAACCTTACCTAACCTGACCTAACCTAACCTAACCTTACCTAACCTAACCTAACCTAACCTAACCTAACCTAACATAACCTAACATAACCTAACCTAACCTAACCTGGCCTAACCTGACTAACCTAACCTAACCTAACCTAACCTAACCTGACCTAACCTAACCTAACCTGACCTAACCTAACCTGACCTGACCTAACCTAACCTAACCTAACCTAACCTGACCTAACCTAACCTAACCTAACCTGACCTAACCTAACCTAACCTGACCTAACCTAACCTGACTTAACCTAGCCTAACCTAACCTGACCTAACCTGACCTCACCTAACTTAACCTAACCTAATCTGACCTCACCTAACTTAACCTAACCTAACCTGATCTAACCTGATCTAACCTGACTTCACCTAACCTAACCTAACTTAACCTAACCTAACCTGACCTCACCTAACTTAACCTAATCTAACCTGACCTCACCTAACTTAATCTAACCTATCCTAACTTAAGTTAACCTCACCTAACTTAACCTAACCTCACCTAATTTAACCTCACCTTGCCTAACCTAACTGAAACTAACTTAATTGTTTCTAGTTAAATTCTGCCATGTATAGCAGTGGTGAGTTTAAATTTATTTAATTTTGCCTCAAATCAATGTTAAACATTTTTTTGTCGTTATTATCGGATTGATTTCAGCGGTTTTATGGCGAAAAAAAGTTATTCTGCCGAATTGGCCGAAGTCGGTGATTCGGCTTAATCGGTACGACATATATATATTCATATAAGCGACCCCTCCCTCCCCCCCCACACAAAAAAAAATGTTTATACCACTATGAGCATCCGTAATCTCTGTATGGCAACACCGTGCATGTTGCCCATTTGTAAATAGACTTTGAAGAGTGTCAGAGCCGCCACAACTCTGTGGCTCCGACACTTGACACTAGATGGCACCAGAAGGTGCTAATTGAAGCCACTTTTTCCCACACTGCCATCTGCGTCTTTACGATCGAATTTGATCTTCCATGGAGTTACACACACACATGTTTGCTCTTTGAATTCAACACCGCTTTCTGATGGTCGGTTTCCTGCACTCACTATGTTTATATATATATATATATATATATATATATATATATATATATATATATATATATATATATATATATATATATATATATATATATAAACACTGATCTCTGGCCGAAGGAGACTCGAACCTACGAACCTTGGGACAAGGTACGCAGTGCTTTACCATTCTCACCACACTGGACAATATCTTGGCGCCTAGCTCACGCTAGACGTTGATCCAAGGCAGCCAGCTTTCAGGGAGAAGGCATACAGCTGAAAACTGGCTGCCTTGGATTAACGTCTAGCGTGAGCTAGGCGCCAAGATATTGTCCAGTGTGGTGAGAATGGTAAAGCACTGCATACCTTGTCCCAAGGTTCGTAGGTTCGAGTCTCCTGCCAGAGATCAGTGTTTGTGTATATTTCGCATGCTCTTGCGAATTCCTTGCATATATATATATATATATATATATATATATATATATATATATATATATATATATATATATATATATATATATATATATATATATATATAAACCACGGGGGGTTGAATGATAGTTCTAGGCCTTTCGTGTTACAATCAACACATCATTCATTAGGAGCTTGCATTGTTACAGAAAAGAGGAAGAAGTCCAATTGGAAATCCTCCTCTTTTCATCAACATTGCAAGCTCCTGTTGATGTGTTGATTGTAACACGAAAGGGCTAGAGCTATCACTCATAAATTAAGTGCTGAAATCTGTCAGCCTGAGCTCTGAGACTTCAGTAGTGTCAGCATGAGCTGGGAAACTTCAGCAGTGTCAGCCTGAGCTGGAAGACTTCAGCAGTGTCAGCCTGAGCTGGAAGACTTCAGCAGTGTCAGCCTGAGCTGGGATCCAAGTCTTTCCCTGCAGTTAAGCCGGAGATAATATTACTTGATTTAAAACCCCTTCAAGAGGGAAGGGGCACCTTGATATTGATGAAGGGCTCTTGATACAAGGGATTGGAGCTACCCTCACGTTCCCTGGATCAAACCTGATTACCGCCCATTCTTCAGGGCCTGTCACCCTTACGATTTAAGAGTTTCACTGTGAAACGTTACTGCTGCTGTTACTACTACTACTACTACTACTACCACTACTACTACTACTACTACTATTACTATTACTACTACTACTACAAATAATAATAATAATTATAATAATAGGCGAGAAAGGGAATGTTTCAGAGTAAACATGGTTGTGAGAGAGGGATGTGTGATGTCACCACGGTGGTTTAATGTGTTTACAGAAGGGGTTATAAAAGAAGTCAATGCTGGAGTGTTAGGGAGAGTTGCGGCCTTCAAAGATTGTCTAGTTGTTGTTACGTAGTAGCCGTCACAGTTGTTGTTTTAGGATGAGACAGTGCTCACCATTCATTATAACCAACAACTCACCATTCATGACCCCCCGTTCCCCTCACTATCACTCAAACTCTACATAATTCACCATATCACACCTTCACTCGCCATTCATTACCATCACTCATCAGCAATGACCATCCACTATCTCGTTTACGAGAGCAATATTTTCAGAAATACTAATCCCTCTATCTTAGTTGTGTGGAGGCAGTGTGTGCGAGCGCATCAATTCTTTTCTCTGGGGAATAAGTCACGAACTCATTCTTCACTGCTGGAAGTTATGGGTGGGAGGGTGTAGAGGCCTTTATAAGCTCAGGGAAAGTAGCTAAGTGAGGAGGATTATTGTTTATTGGAATAGTAACCAGAATTTTCGAAGGGGTGGACCGGTAAGCGAGCGTAAGCCCTCGGTCAGATGATCAAAATCCCCAGCTGCGGATCATCATATGGCTATCTACCTACCTGGAGGGTCTATCTGGAGGGTATTCCGGGGATCAACGCCCCCGCGGCCCGGTCCACGACCAGGCCTCCCGGTGGATCAGGGCCTCATCAACCAGGCTGTTACTGCTGGCTGCACGCAGTCCAACGTACGAACCACAGCCCGGATGACCCGGCACTGACTTTAGGCGTCTGTCCACCTACCTTTTGAAGACAACCAGGGATCTATTGGTAATGCCCCTTATGGCTGGTGGAAGGTTGTTGAACAGTCTTGGGCCCCAGACACATATTGTGTTTTCTCTTAGTGTACAAGTAGCGCCCCTATGACCCGCTTCAAGAAACACTTATCTGTTTCCTAAGTGGGTACATGTAGGGTGGCAGCCAGGCTGGAAGGTTGGTCTGCTATTGCGTATGTGGCAGAACCTTCCTGAAAGTGGCTAGTGGAGACAACTTTGCTTCACCATGTGAGATTTCAGTCTACCCAGTAATACCCATTCCCTTATTCCCTGTAAATTCAGTCTCCCTTATCATTAATACTAATCTCCCTGAGTTGTATCCCAGAATATCACTGAATGAGATAAGTGCCATTAAGGTGTAATTCCACCTTCATAATGTAAATATCAGTATAGAGAGTTAGTTCACCTTAACCCATGACTGGCTGTGTCTGTGGTCTGTGTCCTCATACCTTAACTTGAAGGGGAACTCGTAAAGAAGTATTTCTTTTGTGTATAGTGAGGGTGGAAGTGTTAACCCTCGTTCACTTTGGTTATCTCACATTAATAACCCGCACTTAGAAGAGAGGAGCTTACGACGACGTTTCGGTCCGACTTGGACCATTTACAAAGTCACACTAACGAGAAGTTGAGCAAGTCCAAGTCGGACCGAAACGTCGTCGCAAGCTCCTCTCTTCTATGTGCGGTTTTTTCGTGTATCGTTCCAGTCACGGTACTGTGCCTTTTTTTATCTCACATTCTTTCAGCGATGGTGATTTTTAATAACGTTATATTTAAAATCAGTCCCAAGTGCTTTGTGATCGCTCTCCTTAACAAGATATCAGTTTACTGCCAATTTGTTAAGTGCCGCCCATGGAATCTGTACATTGCGAAGTGACTTATGCTAAGAAGGATGTGAATAAACCATACCCCCGGCCGGGATTGAACCCGCGGTCATAGAGTCTCAAAACTCCAGCCCGTCGCGTTAGCCACTAGACCGGCTATAGTTTTGAGACTCTATGACCGCGGGTTCAATCCCGGCCGGGGGTATGGTTTATTTGCAATCGTGTCATTACGATTTCTTGAGTCAAGTAAGGATGTGAATAAATTTGGGACGGATCTCAGTATCCGACAGTGCTCTGACCATTAAAGGTTTAATTTCTGACCTGGAGATAGTCTCTTCATGTCCATGGTCAGTGTTTATCAGGTCATTCTAGTGAAATATGAGATAGCAGCATTTCATATACCTAATAGTTCTCTTATATTTTGCTTGTGTTCAGCTTGCATACAAAAATAGGAAAAATCACTTGGAAATTCAGGTAAATTGTCGTTATTAAGACAATAAATGATGTTAAAATGTCGCATTGGTGTGAAAAATGAAGTTAGATTCGTTACCCTCCCTCATTTTCTCTCAAATGTCTGACTATTCCTGACAGGCAAGAGCTTCATGCTGACCATCACCATCAGCACCTCACCACCCCAGGTGGCTACCTACACTAAGGCAATCAAGGTGACTGTGGACGGGCCCAGGGAACCTCGATCCAAGACACGTAAGTGAAAAAAATATATATTTTTAATATTGCAAAAAACACACCAGCCCTTCCCCGTATGGCCACATGCTGTTCTAGAGGCCACATGCTGTTCTAGAGGCCACATGCTGTTCTAGAGGCCACATGCTGTTCTAGAGGCCACATGCTGTTCTAGAGGCCACATGCTGTTCTAGAGGCCACATGCTGTTCTAGAGGCCACATGCTGTTCTAGAGGCCACATGCTGTTCTAGAGGCCACATGCTGTTCTAGAGGCCACATGCTGTTCTAGAGGCCACATGCTGTTCTAGAAGCCACATGCTGTTCTAGAGGCCACATGCTGTTCTAGAGGCCACATGCTGTTCTAGAGGCCACATGCTGCCCTAGGAGCTACGTGCTCCCCTAGGGGCCACATGCTACCCTCCAGTTCATGTATTATGGTCCTCATGATGCGTCACACATCGCTACAGACAACATTAAGTTTCTGATATTTAAATTTATTTACTGGATATATAAATATTATGATTGTCTTTCACCTGATTTTCTGGTTAAACTGTCGGTGGATAAATACTCACATTCTTATTTCACTGTGTTTTGGAATTTCGGCTTCTTAACAAACTTCAAATTTGAAGCTGAGACTGGTGAATTCTACTCCCAAGTGATGTTACACCTGACACCTAACACCCTGTCTCGCCTTGGCTCGTGATGTTATACCTGACACCTAACACCCTGTCTCGCTCTGCCTCGGTGATGTTATACCTGACACCTAACACCCTGTCTCACCCTGCCTCGGTGATGTTACACCAGACACCTAACACCCTGTCTCGCTCTGCCTCGGTGATGTTACACCAGACACCTAACACCCTGTCTCGCTCTGCCTCGGTGATGTTATACCTGACACCTAACACCCTGTCTCACCCTGCCTCGGTGATGTTACACCAGACACCTAACACCCTGTCTCGCTCTGCCTCGGTGATGTTACACCAAACACCTAACACCCTGTCTCGCCTTGGCTCGTGATGTTATACCTGACACCTAACACCCTGTCTCGCTCTGCCTCGGTGATGTTATACCTGACACCTAACACCCTGTCTCACCCTGCCTCGGTGATGTTACACACGAAGTTGAAGACTCAGATGAATCAAAGGGATGTTAGGAAGTATTTCTTCAGTCATAGAGTAGTCAAGCCGTGGAATAGCCTAGAAAGTGAAGTAGTGGAGGCGGGAACCATACATAGTTTTAAGGCGAGGTATGATAAAGCTCATGGAGCAGGGAGAGAGAGGACCTAGTAGCAATCAGTGAAGAGGCGGGGCCAGGAGCTATGACTCGATCCCTGCAACCACAAATAGGTGAGTACATGACACCTAACACCCTGTCTCACCCTGCCTCGGTGATGTTACACCTGACACCTAACACCCTGTCTCACCCTGCCTCGGTGATGTTACACCAGACACCTAACACCCTGTCTCGCCCTGCCTCGGTGATGTTACACCAGACACCTAACACCCTGTCTCGCCCTGCCTCGGTGATGTTACACCTGACACCTAACACCCTGTCTCACCCTGCCTCGGTGATGTTACACCAGACACCTAACACCCTGTCTCGCCCTGCCTCGGTGATGTTACACCTGACACCCTGTCTCACCCTGCCTCGGTGATGTTACACCAGACACCTAACACCCTGTCTCGCCCTGCCTCGGTGATGTTACACCTGACACCCTGTCTCACCCTGCCTCGGTGATGTTACACCAGACACCTAACACCCTGTCTCGCCCTGCCTCGGTGATGTTACACCTGACACCTAACACCCTGTCTCACCCTGCCTCGGTGATGTTACACCAGACACCTAACACCCTGTCTCGCCCTGCCTCGGTGATGTTACACCTGACACCTAACACCCTGTCTCACCCTGCCTCGGTGATGTTACACCAGACACCTAACACCCTGTCTCGCCCTGCCTCGGTGATGTTACACCTGACACCCTGTCTCACCCTGCCTCGGTGATGTTAAAACCAGACACCTAACACCCTGTCTCGCCCTGCCTCGGTGATGTTACACCTGACACCCTGTCTCACCCTGCCTCGGTGATGTTACACCAGACACCTAACACCCTGTCTCACCCTGCCTCGGTGATGTTACACCTGACACCCTGTCTCGCCCTGCCTCGGTGATGTTACACCTGACACCCTGTCTCACCCTGCCTCGGTGATGTTACACCAGACACCCAACACCCTGTCTCACCCTGCCTCGGTGATGTTACACCTGACACCCTGTCTCACCCTGCCTCGGTGATGTTACACCAGACACCCAACACCCTGTCTCACCCTGCCTCGGTGATGTTACACCTGACACCCTGTCTCACCCTGCCTCGGTGATGTTACACCAGACACCCAACACCCTGTCTCACCCTGCCTCGGTGATGTTACACCTGACACCCTGTCTCACCCTGCCTCGGTGATGTTACACCTGACACCTAACACCCTGTCTCACCCTGCCTCGGTGATGTTACACCTGACACCTAACACCCTGTCTCTCCCTGCCTCGGTGATGTTACACCTGACACCTAACACCTTGTCTCACCCTGCCTCGGTGATGTTACACCTAATACCCTGTCTCGCCCTGCCTCGGTGATGTTACACCTGACAACTAACACCCTGTCTCACCCTGCCTCTGTGATGTTACACCTGACACCTAACACCCTGTCTCGCCCTGCCTCGGTGATGTTACACCTGACACTCTCCACTTTGCCTCACCCTGACCCAGCGATGTTTGAGTATTTTAATTACGTAATTAATAATTAAGTTTGTAGTAATAGTTTGTAATCATGTTGGACAAAAGCTACTCGGTTTTTTAATGTATCTGTTAATTAAGACACATACCTGCATGCCTGGAGTCTACCTGGAGGGTATTCCGGTGATCAGCGCCCCCGCGGCCCGGTCTCGGACCAGGCCTTCTCAGTTATAGGAAAAATATTTCAGGAAGAAGAGCTATCAAGAAATACGGAAAAGTAAAGAACGTAAGTAGACTTCAGTAAGATTTATCTGTCATTATACATGGTCATGGGCACCACCCCCACCTTCACCCTCTCCCGCCCCAACTTTCAACCTCTCCCACCCCTCCTCCATCCTCTCCCATCCCTCCTTCACCCTCTCCTTCCCCCACCTTCACTCTCTCCCACTCATCCTTCACTCTCCCCCACCCCTCCTTCACCCTTTCCCACCCCACCTTCACCTCTTCTTCCCCCACCTTAACCCTCTCCCACCCCCACCTTCACCCTCTCCCACTTCCACATTCACCCTCTTCCACCCCCTCCTTCACCCCCTTCTTCCCCCACCTTAACCCTCTCCCACCCCCACCCTCACCTTCTCCCACCCCACCTTCACCCTCTCCCACCCCTCCTTCATCCTCTCCCATCCCTTCGTTCATCCTCTCCCACTCCACCTTCATCCTCTCCCACCCCACCATCACCCTATCCCACCCCACCTTAAGTCTCCCCCACTCCCTGCTTAACCCTCTCACATTCCTCCTTCACCCTCCCCACCCCTCCTGCATCTTCTCCTCCCTCTCCTTTACCCCCTCCCACCTCACCTTAATCCTCTCCCACCCCCTTCTTCACCCACCCAACACCCCTCATCTTTACTCCCACCAACCCCATTTCCCACGACCTTCCTCCTAATCATTTCCTCCCGTCCTCATAATTGCCACCACCCCGCCCACACCACCCACCCTGCCCACACCGCCCACACCACTCACCCCGCCCACACCACTCATCCCGCCCACACCACTCACCCCGCCCACACCACCCACATCACTCACCCCGCCCACACCACCCACCCCGCTCCCCCGCCCACACCACCCACCCGGTCTACGTTCAATAAATAACGAAGGGAATCGATAGTAATTCTCCATCACTTCCTTACACTACAAGAGTCACTGTAACACACTGCCTCACACTGTAACACACTGCCTCACACTGTAACACACTGCCTCACACTGTAACACACTGCCTCACACTGTAACACACTGCCTCACACTGTAACACACTGCCTCACACTGTAACACACTGCCTCACCCTGTAACACACTGCCTCACACTGTAACACACTGCTCACACTGTAACACACTGCCTCACACTGTAACACACTGCCTCACCCTGTAACACACTGCCTCACACTGTAACACACTGAGTCACATTGTAACACACTGCCTCACATTGTAACACACTGCCTCACATTGTAACACACTGCCTCACATTGTAACACACTGCCTCACATTGTAACACACTGCCTCACATTGTAACACACTGCCTCACATTGTAACACACTGCCTCACATTGTAACACACTGCCTCACATTGTAACACACTGCCTCACACTGTAACACACTGCCTCATATTGTAACACACTGCCTCACATTGTAACACACTGCCTCACACTGTAACACACTGCCTCATATTGTAACACACTGCCTCACATTGTAACACACTGCCTCACACTGTGAGTAACACTGCCTCACACTGTAACACACTGCCTCACATTGTAACACACTGCCTCACATTGTAACATACTGCCTCACACTGTGAGTAACACTGCCTCACACTGTAACACACTGCCTCACATTGTAACATACTGCCTCACACTGTAACACACTGCCTCACATTGTAACATACTGCCTCACATTGTAACACACTGCCTCACACTGTGAGTAACACTGCCTCACATTGTAACACACTGCCTCATATTGTAACACACTGCCTCACATTGCAACACACTGCCTCATATTGTAACACACTGCCTCACATTGTAACACACTGCCTCACATTGCAACACACTGCCTCATATTGTAACACACTGCCTCACATTGTAACACACTGCCTCATATTGTAACACACTGCCTCACATTGCAACACACTGCCTCACATTGTAACATACTGCCTCACACTGTGAGTAACACTGCCTCACATTGTAACACTGCCTCACACTGTGAGTAACACTTCCTCACATTGTAACACACTGCCTCACATTGTA